AGAAAGATGATAACCTAAGTTTCTGGCCTTGGCTTAGCATAGTATGGGGTTGATTCTGCTGTACCTGCCACCTGTCATACACAGGCTACTAGACAGAATCTCCAAGGTCCTTTCCCTGAAGGCTCATGGGAATTGTCCATCATGAACAAGTTTTCCCAACTGTGAAATAATTGTAGTGCCAAAATGGCATTGTAAAGGTTGGAAAATAATAATGAAGAGATTGAGAGACCAAGAATAAAGGAACAGGAAGTATGTTTGCTCTGATATCCTTAGTCCTATTTATTTACTTATTTTGAGACAAGGTTTCTCTGTATAGGCCAGGCTATCCTGGAACTCACTCTGTAGAACAGGCTGGCCCTGAACTCAGAGATCCATCTCCTTCTGCTGGTTTTTAAAACGTGATTATGTTGGGAGACATTGGCATTAAATGTCCATGTACCTGTTGCATGAACTTTCCCTGGGAGACATAAACATCTATACGCCCCAGATGGGATACCAGTGACAGACTAAAGGAACCACTGCCTCCAGTGAATTCATTGCTGCATCACCCAAACTGAAAAGTCTCAAGCCAGCATGGATGACAACTTCCCTATAGATACATACATGGAGCCTCCCTTCCGTTTACTTTCCACCCTGTATATATTGATTGATTAAATAAAATGGAATGAGCTAATGGTGAGACGAAGCTATATTATATGAGTGAAGGTTTATTAGGAGCAGCGTGAGAAGGGAAGGGATAGAGGAAAAGCATGCAGAGAGAAAGGGGAGGAGGAGAGACAGAACAGAGCAAGAGAGGGGGTTGTTGGTATTCAGGCATCAGGCTTCTGGGTTGCTTAGTAACCTATGATGTCATCACGTGTTACCAGCTGCACAGGAGCTATACTTGGACCCCTCTCTCTTGTGCTTTTGCTGTTCCTCTCTCTTGCTTTCTCTCTTTTCTCCGTCCGGGCACCCCTTCCCCTCCCCTTATCATGTCTCTCTCATCTCTCTCCATCTCCATCCAATAAACCTCTTTCATATATCTGTTGTTCACATCATCCTTTCACGGGGGGGGCGGGAGGGGGGAGAGAGGAAAGAGCAAAGGGCAGAAAGGGTGGGAGGAACCAGAATGTCTGGATTATATAGTGAAGGGCCTCCGGGAGAGTGGAAGCCCAGCACCAGGGTAGGGCAGGCCTGCCAGCCCCGGCCTGCAGCAAGTGAGATCTAAAATACATACTCCAGCGCACCTCCAGAGGCCACTTCAGATGGAAGGACTGTAGCAGGCAGGGGGTGGGGGTCGGGGAGGGAATGGTTGGAATGCACGAGGCCCTCCCGCACCCTCTCCTTCGATGGAGCATAGGCCCAATCTAGAGGATCTCTTTTGAGTAATTACAACTGCAGTGAAGATGATAATAACCACTATACTCAGAGGACAGCCTTCCACATCACTGCCTGTTGATCCATGCACTGTTGGGCAGGTAGATCCTATGTCCGTGACAGATCTTCCGGTCCCCCATGCGAGGAGGACACATCCTGCTGCAGGGGCACAGGAGGGCCTGTGGTAGGCATTCCCCACCCAGGTGTGCTATCCTGCTTTTCCTCTCCGCTCTAGGCCGTACACAACGCTCTTGCACCTCTGGACCCTAGACTATCCACCAGCTCCCTTCGAGCTAATTCCGGAAAAGCAGGTGCTGAATCTCAGCCCCTCACAGAGTGCACAGAGGGAAGGAACCCAAGGCGAAACCACACCAGGGGCCTTGAGCAAGACCTGCCCCGGCCCTTCCTGGTCCAGCAGGCTGGCCTCAGGAAAAGCGGGACCGGAAAGGCACGCGGGAGCCAGACCCAAAAAGGTGCGCATCTTTTTTCCACCCATATGTCCTTGAAGCAGGGATGCTTATGTTTAGGCAACTCAAGAAATAATCCCGGGTTTTCAATTTGAAGTAATTTAGGGTTCGAGCAAATACGCTACTTCCTGCCTGAGGCCACGCTTCCACCCAGTCTAGCAGAGGCCCCGCCCCCACGCCCAGCCCCGCCCCCGCCGCCCCTCGTGATAGACCCTCTACCCGCCCACCAAGGACGCCCCGCCCTTGTTCCCGGGACAGGCTTGACCCTAGCCAGTTGACACCTCACCTCCGCCCTTCCTCTCACACGCACGCGGCCATGGCGGAACCTGAGTTGCAGCTGGTGGCGCGGCGCATCCGCAGCTTCCCCGACTTCCCCATCCCGGGCGTGCTGTTCAGGTGCGTCCACGAGCCGCCCAGGCGTTGGCGCTGCGCCCTCAGCCCTCCAGCGCAGGCGCGTGAGCTGTCTCGGGGATCTTGCGGGGCCTCCGCCCAGCCATACCCAAGTCACCATCCTGTGTTCCCAGGGATATCTCGCCCCTCCTGAAAGACCCGGACTCCTTCCGAGCTTCCATCCGCCTCCTGGCCAACCATCTGAAGTCCACGCATGGCGGCAAGATCGACTACATCGCAGGCGAGTGTTCTTGCTAGGCCGTGCCCGTTCCCACTGTCCGGGCCGCCATCCCGTGTTCCCTTTTTCGTGTCACCCACACCCACCCCTCCTTTCTCTGACACTCCTAAGTTCCCTGTTCTTCTCTGCCTTGGTCCCGTATTCACCCCGGATGACTGCGGAGTCTCCCACCCTCTGACCTCTGCTCTCAAAGCCTGTCCCTACTAGAGATGAACTCTGCTCTGTCCATGTGTGCAGGGCCAGCTCTTCCTCTTAGGCCTGGAGCTTGGCTAGCACCCTGGCAGCAGGAATGGGAGGCGCACGTGTGTGCTCTGAGGATAACTTTGAGTCAGGCCCTGGAAACCCAGGTGATGGACATCCTTGCTAGTGGTCGCCTTGGGACAGCAAGGAGCGTGCCTGGGCAGGCCTCAAGCCCGATAGCCTCCGGGGCTGTTTATCTCTCTGTCCCCTTGCACAAGCTCCAGGCTCCATGTGTGAGTTTCTGAAACACGCTAGGGTAGCTGAATGTCCACCAGGAGAGTCCAGAGGGAGGGTGGGCACCCCAGGGTGGCCCTGGCAAATGCTCAGGGGCCAGAGTACTCGTGCCCACTTCACTTCCTGTTGGAACCCCCTGGCCATGCTCCAGAAATGAGGGTATGTATGCATCTTTCCTCTTTAGCACAGGTCTGGAAGTGACCTGGAGTCAAAGGAACCCAAGGTGAAACTACACCAGGGGCCTTGCGCAAGACCTGCGCCGACCCTCCTGGTCCAGAAGGCTGGCCCCTAGACTGGGATGCACCCTGTAGTTGAAATGCTCCTGGGTAGATGCTGCATTTGAGCGGTGGCCAGAGCCATCTCTATTATTGTTCTCTCTACCTCTGGCCTATAGGCTATCACCCAGCTCTACCCAACAACTCTCCTCCCTTACCCTGACAGGCCTAGACTCCAGGGGCTTCCTGTTTGGCCCCTCCCTAGCTCAGGAGCTGGGCCTGGGCTGTGTGCTCATCCGAAAGCGTGGGAAGCTGCCGGGTCCCACTGTGTCGGCCTCTTACGCCCTGGAGTACGGAAAGGTAAGCGAGCTTCGGGTAGAGGAAGCACAGGGTCAGACCACTGCCGAGGATGTTTAGGAGTAAATGTTGGGGCTCAGGCTTGCACCACCAGGAAACATGGGGAGGCCAGCAGTGGAAAGGCAAATGGACACTTGTTAGCTCCTGACTCTCACACTGCTTCCTGTCTTCAGGCTGAGCTGGAAATCCAGAAAGATGCTTTAGAACCCGGGCAGAAAGTGGTCATTGTAGATGACCTCCTGGCCACTGGAGGTAAGAGCCACTCCGCACTTTACAGGTTACGAAGGGCCAGGCCCTGTCCAGATGCTGACTCAGCAAAGAACCTTACCACTTCTCTTCTCCCTTCACACCAGGAACCATGTGTGCCGCCTGTCAGCTGCTGGGCCAGCTCCGGGCCGAGGTGGTGGAGTGTGTGAGCCTGGTGGAGCTGACCTCGCTGAAGGGCAGGGAGAAGCTAGGACCTGTACCGTTCTTCTCTCTCCTGCAGTACGAGTGACTGGGGAGCTGAACGGTTGCCACACCCCTGCTCCCAGCACCAATAGTTGGACCAATAGCCAAAGGGCACCTAAGTGGCCTTTATGAACTACCAGCTGCTCTTCTGTGACTGTGTTCACGTGTTTCTTTGGTCAGCTGATGGCCAGGCCTATGGACCACCTGGGGCCTCGCATCTTCTAGATGTACCAGACCCTGGAATGGGGCACCAGCTGCGCTATGGAGGGCATGACAGCAAAAGCAATAAACAGTTTTGTTACACATGGTGTTTCCTGCCTATTGCATGGGACACATTCCATAGCCTCCAGAATGACATTACAAGGACAGGGGGCTCAGTGTCATTTTGTGGACCTCCCCATAATAGGTAGAAGCTGGCAGGCTCAGCTGTGGATAGAAGGCACAACCCCTAGGAAGCAGGTACTACTTTATTAGTCTCCCTTTGATAGAGATAGCTAACTACATACAAATTTAGTTTAAACAGCATTACTACTTTTCTAGGCCATTCCTTTAGGACTAAAATGAAGTCACTACCTTAAACTGTCTTTTAGTCAGGCATGGTGGCACATGTCTTTAATCCCAGCACTCAGAAGTCAGATAGGTGGTTCGATGAGTTTGAGGCCAGCCTGGTGGTGAATCCAGGATAGCCAAGGCTACGCAGAGAAACCCTGTCTCCAAAAACATTTTGTAGCTGGGTTTGGTGGTGCACACCCCAGCAGGTGGATCTCCAGTTTGGTCTATGTAGTTCTAGGACAGCCAGCGCTACACAGAAAAACTCTTGTCTCAAAAAGAAAAAATCCAATTTTGTTTAAACATCAATAGCAAGTTGCAGGGATGCTGGGAATGACAGAACCAGCCTTGCATGTGCCAAGCAAACACTGTCACTGAGCCACACTTCCAGCAAATTCTTCCTGGACCAAAGCCTGATCTCACTAGTCACGAAAGGAAATACTGCACAACAGCACCATTCAAAGGGGATCCTACAGTGACAGGTTCAGTTTAATCTTGGTGGCATTTTATTTAAATCTTAGATGACTTTACAAAAAGCCAAGACTAACAGTCATATCCAGGGCCATACAGGTATAGAAGGTTAAATTCAAAACAAACCACAAAAATCTTGATCTCAAAACCTATAAAGATAACTTCATTAAATATAAAAGGCCCAATATCACTCAGCCACTCAATTATCATCCTTGGGAAATTTGGCCAGAAGTTCAAGTTCTGTGTGTGTCCTTCGGGCTCTAAGCAAGACAGCAGCTGTCAGGAGCATGGAGGAACAAGGCTAGGCAGGCCCAGGGCTTCCACCTGGACCTTGATCTTGACAGTACCCAGAACTAGCCTTGAGTAGCTTGTGGGATGGACAGCCAACATACCCTGCTCTCCCAGCGTACTTCCCCAACACTCCACAAGTGCTGGGGCTAGGGTACACCAAAGGCTCAGAAGCCAGTTTAACACCAACACCACTTTACAAGATCCATGGGCACAGCAGCTGCCCATACTGGCGGTAGGCCCTTGGGCCTGAGATGTGGAGAGCGAAGCTTAAGTGGGTTGTACTGATGAAAGGAACAGGCAGTCAGGCGATGAGTGCGAGTCACAGACTCTCGGTGTGGACCTGGTGGGCCAGCCTCGCAGTGAGGCCAGCCAGGTCAGTAGCTTTATCCAGCTTGATGTAGGTGTCAGTTCGAATGTGATGCAGGCTGAGCCAGTCTGGCAGCAGCTCGGCCAGGAGCAGCAGGTGCTTCTCCATCTCCCCTGGGCTCAGGGCAGCTTGGCAACTGTCCACCATCCTTGCACAGACCACCTCCATTGTGAGTGCCGGCTTACGCTCGGACACGAAGACACCACGCAGCACGCGGGCCAGCTCTGGCAAGCGCTCTAACCTCTGCAGCCGAAGCTCTTGCTCCGGGCACCGCGTCATCTGTGCTAGCTGCTTCTGGACCTCCTTGGCCCTTATCTGCATGAGGGAGGGTCAGCAGCAAATGGTCACCAAGGGCCTCCTCTCATCACCAAGTCCCCCTAACCTGTTACCCAGGACTTACCCGTGCCAGCAGGGCTTGTGACACACCCTTGAGGGCACTGGAAGTGGCAGCAGGTGGGGTGGCTGGTGGGGTGGCTGGGAGCGCTAGACTAGAGGAGCCAGGGCTAGCAGGCTCCGCTGAGCGCAGGGCCAGGTTACTCAAGGCCTTCTCCATCTGCAGAGGTCACAAAAGGTCACAAACTGCCCCATCCTTGTGAGAGGGAGCCTCACCCAGGAAGTATTGGGAGTCCCCAGCATATGTACACAGCCAACTGTGCGTGTGTCCATTCATGTGTGTGTTGCCAGGGTACAGAGCACACCTGACTTCTCTGTGCCCTCAGCTGATGGAACATCAGGCCAACCCAGAGGCACTCAGCTAGCCCTCTGGGGTTAGGCAGCCATATTCCCTGAGGAGAAAGGAATGAAATTAGAGGCTAAAGAACCTCACCTTGGGTGACATCAAGCTGCGGGCACGGGCCAAAACCTCCTGGGCAGTGGTGAGCTTCTCCAAGACAGGAGGCTGGGGCAAGTCAGCTGGCTCAATATCAGGCACTTCATCCACATTGAAGCGCGGGTGCCAGCGTGTTAGCTGGTCTTCGGGCACGGCCATAGGGGGGTTCAATGAAGCAAGGAAAGCCTGAAGGAAAGGAGGAGAATGTTGGACTGCTCATTTCATTTCCAGCCAGAAAGAAGAACCCCTGGGCAAACAATTTAGCCTTTCTGTGTCCAGGTACACAGTCAAGTATAAAGAAAGGCATGTTCCTAGCACACGAGCATGGCTGACTAAATGACAAGAAAACCCTCACAGGCTCTCAAGTTAATCCCGAGTGTCCAGCTTTTGTGTTCCAGGCTCCCAGGGTCCCCAGCTCCAGCCTACAGTGTAGGTTAGGTGTTGGCAGCAGAATCAACCCTCCTCACACTTAAAGATAACCATAGCCAGGGGTTGGGACAAACCTTTGTATTTGAGGTAAGGACAGCTACTGAAGGGGGAGCAGGGCCATTAGGGCCACTGTCCACTAACAGCAGGGACTGAACCTGCTCAATGGCCTCCACAAACCCCGAGCATTCACCTTGTGATGCTCCTTGACCCGCTGCACCAGGTTCTGCCGGAAGACCTGCCGGCGCTGCAGGAGGCACGTGGCAGTGAGCTGTGTGACACCACCGCCAGTCTCTGTAAGGGGAAACCACGGTGAGCCCGGGGCCCCAGACTGAGACCCAAAAACCAGGCCCAGGACCACACCTCACGCTCACCCACAAAAGCCCGAGACGAGTGAGAACGCCCAGGACCTCCAAGGACTCACCCTGATTCAACAAGGGCTCTATGGTGAGCTGGTAATCAGATCTCTTGACGCCGTCCTTGAAAGTGGGGACGTTGCATTCCTGGCGGAAGCAGTAGGACGTGGGGTACACGGTCTTGATCTGGCCCACGTTGCGCTCCTCAAAGCGCCTACAGAAGGAAGAAAGGGCTGAGTGAGACGGAGCGGGCTGGGCAGCCGGCACCAGACATCAAGAGAACCCAACAGGCTCCCACCGCACCACTCACTTGCGCATCATGTCCTGAACGCCCTGCTTGACTTTAGCAAAGGTGGCCGTCTCGGCGCGGTTGTGAAGCATGCTCACGATGGTGTCCATGCTGCGGAACATCTCGGCCAGCACTTGATACTTGTAGGGGAGGACGAGGCCCGGGGGACCAGGCTGGGCCAGGGCATGGAAGCGCTGGTAGGCAGGGACCTTCTCCACACTGTCAACGGGGCAGCAGTCTCATTAGACTACCAAACGACACGGTGTGACACCACTCACCCCCACACCGCCCAAGAGGGCAGCGCTGCTCTTTGCAACCAGAACCTCAAAACTACCCAGTCGCAGAGTCCGTGCAGATCTGCTGCTGCCTTGAGGCCGGCATCAGGAAGAGACAAGCAGCAGCCTGCTCCACACACCAGCTCTGCCTTACCCTCTGAGGCCTGCAGCCTCAGCTTGGAGAGGCAGACAGACAGGCACAGCACCCACAGCTCCCTATAGTACTCAGAAAGAGGCAGGGCCAGGGGTGATGATGCCCTTTTCAGGTGGTGGACAAGGGCATTGCGCCAGAAAGGAGCACACTGGGGTATTATCTAGGCAATCTGGCTCCAAGCCCCATGGCCACACCAACTGTCTCCCCAGTAGGCCATCCACCCACTCAGGCCCTACAGTTCCTCCTTTCAAAGGCCCATCCTCCCCTGAACCTTGTGGCCCACTAGCACTCACCATGGTTCCTCTGTGGGCACCTTGGCATCTGGGGTACAAGGCTCCACAGCATTCTCCTGGACTCTAGCCCTTAGGGCTCGAGCCTGGGCTCCCAACTTCCGTGCCCGCCTCAGGCAGGACTTGAGCTCTGAGATGGAATCCTCTGAAGGTACCTGGGGACACAGGTGCTTGTCAGTTCTGCCAGCTGTCCACATCCCTGCCCACAGTTCACCCTCAGCCCATTTTCCTTACCTTGTCCCGCTGTTGAGCTGTGGCACAAAGGCCTGGGCCGTCTGAAACACTGGCACTCTTTATTCTCTTGACGGGGGATGGGTGTGCTGGGGGGCCAGGGTCAGCTGGAGAGCTGGGCTCAGCTGGGGCACTGGGGCAGGAGTCCTGGCAATTAAGAAGCCACAGATCAATAAACTGGGTTGAGGAAGAGTACCTGCTCGGTAGGAAGAGCACCGGCCTGCAGAGCTAGAACCAGACTGTCAGTTCACTCGACCCTGAGGGCTGGAGCCAGGCTCTAGGGGGTGCCTGTCAATCGAGATGTTTGATGAAGCAGTTAGGAAAGATCCAGCTGGCCTGCTCCTTGCTGTAGCAGCTTTCAGGCCTAACTCTCCAATGCCTTCCCTCCTTTTCAGGAGCTCCAGCCCAGTGCTTTGCGGAACCCGCCCGCCTGCTGTAGCCTCCCAGTAAGTCTAGGTGGCCTCTCGCTGCACTCCTCTGCAGGGACTGACTCCCCTGGGCAGAGGAAGAGGTGCCCAGGCTGCTCGCGATCCTACTGCTCCCTGCATCTTGGCGCCCAGTTCCCTGCCTGAGCGCCCGATAACCTGGATTTCCTCTCCTAACCAAGGGTCCTTTAGGGTGGCGTGCACGCCTCACCAATCCAGGCAGCCGCAACCTCCGGCGAGCGGGCGGCGAGGGCTGATCGCTCCTGGGTTCGGCGTGGGGACGGGCACGCTTACGGCTGCTGCTCCGGGAGACCTCGGGGGTCACGAGCCCACTGGGACTCGGGGTGAGGCAGGTCGACTTGGCCCGCGGAGCAGTAAGGCCCGGGCGACGGCACGCATAGAAATCGGTAACACGACTCTGCGCCATGGCGCCAAGAAGCTAGTTCCCGCGGATTTCGCGCGGTTTTCGCGGCTTCAGCCGCGCCCCGCCCAGGCCGTACCATTACGCACAGCTCTGGGAGGGGGAAACGTGCATACTCTAGAGCATGCGTGCTAGCATGCACCAAGACACGCATGCGTGTGTGTTCCCCCCCCCCCCCCACACACACACATCGGCGCCACACTTTTGGATTGGGTGACAGTGTTTAGGAGGGAGAAGGGGCAGGAACGAGTTCGACCCCTGAGCACTGGCGCGCAGACGAGCGGCACAGCAATGAGCTATCCGCGTCATTTCCGCGCGCAGCCAGGCCGTGGCGCGTAAGCGTTTCAAAGCCACTTCGCGCGCTGCTTGGATTGTGGCGGCTGGAAGGCCACGGCTTCTGCCCCCGGCAAAGGGCCGATCAGGTGAAGGAGACGCTTTTGCTCCTGTTCCTCATATTTGCAAAATAATAGCCTGGTCTCGAAAGCCAGCAAAGAAGCTGGATCTGAGTCACAAGCCACTGCTGAGAACCTGGTCCCGGGCGCGAGATGACTCTACACAGGATGGCTCAGGCAGCCGAACATGCTCCAAAGGCATCTCATTTCTCTGGCCACATCCGGGCTAAGGCGTGCAGAGGTTGGAGTTGCGCCGTGGCAGGAAGCGGCCTAGAGGCCTGGGAAATCCGGGGAAGACACGCAGGACTGCTTTCCCCATGACCTGGCAGTCACTGCCACGCAGTGCTTCCAACACTCCTGGAGGGCCATGCAGACAGCACTGTCATTTTGGACAAAGGTGGCTCCCGAGCAGGGAGGGGATGAGGGGAGGGGACAGCTCGGAAGTGGAATCAAGGAGGCCTGGATAGCTGTAAGGACGAGCTGCCCCAAATGAGATTTCTCAGGAGGTGGGAGCTTGTACAGCCCAGAACATGAGTCTAAACCGCATCTGCAGCTGTGGAGTAAAGAACCCAGATTTAGAAGCAGTGCGTTTGGAGACTTGGTGCTCGCTCCTCATGGGTGTGGAATGCCCTGGAACCTCACGGCCAGTGTTCCTTCTGGAGGCTTAGGTGCAGCCCATAGTAACCATTCTACATTTGTAAGGCCACCTCTGGAAAACAGGACTTTGGGATGACACAGCATTGGAGCCCCTCAAATCTTGGTTTGCCCAAGTGACAGGACAAAGCCAGCTGCCTTCTGGTCACAGCCAATTAGATAAGTGATGCATGGCTGAGCCAATCACATGTTCTGGGATCAGAGAAGGCTCTGGAGTCTGACTACCACCCTTTGTGCTGGTGGCCTCCCTTGATGGTAAGACAGCAAAACAGTGACTTTCCAGAGGCACAGTACCAACTGAGCTGTGTCCCTTAACTATGACATCCTCAGCTTGGCTGGACTTAATCACCATACCTCTGGGCATGTCCATGAGGGATTTTCTAGATAGGCTAATTAACGTGAGAAGGGCCAAGTGTCACCATTCTGTGGGTTAGGGTCCCTGACTGACACTAAAAAGGAGAAAGGTCTAGGTGAGGCAGCCTGGCAGCTCACACTTGTAACCCCAGTACTTATGAGACCCTGTCAGATAACTTTTAAAAAGATTAAACTAGGCAAGGTGGTGGTGGTGTACACCTTTAACCCCAGCTCGTGGGAGGCAGAGGCAGGCAGATCTCTGAGTTTGAGGCCAGCCTGGTCTGCAGAGTGAGTTCTAGGACAGCCAGGGAAACCCTGTCTCAGTAAATAAATAAACTCAAAAGACCTCTGTGCTTCCTGACTGAAGACATGGGACCAACTGCTTCACGATCCTGCTGCCATGCCCTCCATGCCATGGTGGACCTTCCAACTGGGAGACAAAATAAACCCTGGTCAAGGCCTCTTCCAACCCACGGGGCCATGGTCACAAAAACGGATCAAAGCTGGCCATGATGGCGCACACCTTTAGTCCCAGCACTCAGGAGGCAGAGGCAAGAGGGTCTTTGTGAGTTTCATGCCAACCTGGTTTAAACATCAAGTTCCATGTCAGCCAGAGAGTCCCTGTCCTTTGTTTGTTTGTTTTTGTTTTGTTTTGAGACAAGATTTCTATGTAACCCTGGCTAAGACACCCTGTCTTTAAATAATAATAATAGTAAATCTACATGATGCTTGATTAAAGCAACTTGAGGAAGGACATGGTACAGTTCGTCATGACAGGAAAGCATGGCGGCAGGAACAAGAGGCATCTGGGCATGTTGAACACAGTAGGAGAGATGGGCACGGATGCTCACCTCAATTTCTTTTTATTTAGTTCATACAAGGGTGCATACACACACACACACACACACACACACACGGTACCATTCCCCTCCTCCTTTAAACCTTTTTGAAACATCCTCAGAGACACACCAAAAGGGGTGTGTGATTCTAAATCCAATAAGTTGCCTTTGTTGCATATTTTGTTACAACAGTTAAAAAAGTAACAGTCACCCCGTTTTCACCATCATCATCCCCATCTTTTTCTAACCACCTGAGGACAGTTGCCATAGGTCCTCGGTATTGATGATAGCTATGGTCTGGCGTCACCTAACTTCCCTAGAACCCACCCTTGTTCCCCAAGCCCTGTTCTCTGCCAGGCTACAACCTTGATACTGTTACAGGATGAATGGTCTGTAGGCTCTGCTCATCTGCTACATCCTCTTGCCGTCTGTGGGAAACAATGACGAGGAGCCATAACTGCAGCACGTCACTGCCTTCAGGTGCGTTTAGTGACAGAGAATGGCTTCTGTCCAGGTTTGCTGAGCAGACAGCCCTGCTTCCTGTGCTTGGGATGGCTTCTCTGTCTCCTTCAGAGTGTTTCTCTAGATCATACCTGTGTGCAGGTGAAGAAGCCGAGGCTCCAGGCTGCTGAGCCAGGGAGCTGGACTGCACTCCCCCTTCCAGCTCTCCGTGTGCCGCTATCCCTCACACTCCCAGACAGGAAACAGTACTTGGGCTCACGGAATCCCTCAGGGACCTGCTGAGGCTCTGTTAGTCACCTGCAGCCACAGAGGAGCTTTTTGTGGTCTTGGCTTTTAACGCTTTTAACGCAGGGTTTGTGGGCAAGTAGAGAGGGGCACTTTCACCTTCAATGAAGGCATCTGGGTCTCAGCCAGGATTGACCTGCACTTGGCTCCCTGTCTGCCAGACAGCCTTGGAATCCATTATGGATGAGATAGAGCAGGATGGATGGGCAGATGCCTCTGCTTGCCACGTGTTGAGTGACACCAGCGGTTTCTGCTCCTTCCAAGACTCAGTTTCCTTGTCAGCTCTGGGATGTGTTGTCTTGTGGACCCTGCTTCACAACAACATGGCTGCAAGACTCTGAGGAGGAAGAACTGAGAGCCACATCATCATCTCAGTGATGACAAACGCCCCATTCTCACTCACACTTGGTTTCAGAAAACATCACACAGGGAAGGGCTAACTTTGCCTTTATCCGTCTTAGTTCTCTTTCTTTTCTGTTGCTGTGGCAAAATACCTGACAAAAGCAACTTAGGAGAGAGAGAAGCAGGCCAGATGGTGGTGGCGCAAACCTTTGATCCCAGCATGTGGGAGGCAGAGGCAGGTGGATCTCTGTGAGTTCAAGGCCAGCCTGGTCTACAGAGTCAGTTCCAGAACAGCCAGGGCTACACAGAGGAAAGGAAGAGAGAGACAGAGAGAGGCTATCAGACTCACAATCTCAGGTTTCAGTCATCATAGCAAGGAAGTTAGAGTAGGAGGGGACTTGAGGGGGAACTGGTCACATCTTGTGCAGAGTGAAGCACAGAGGAGTTCATGAATGCCAGTGCTCAGCCTGCTTACCCGGACCCTGTGCCAAGGGAATGGCGTTACCCGGAGTGGGTCTTCCGGTTAACTTTAATTAACATAATCAGATTATTCTCTATAGGGAGGCCTACTGGCCTGCCTCTCCGGGGCTTCTGCATTTTGTCAAGTAACCATTGTTTGCATGTCCTGTGTTGGCATCTAACATCTGTACAATAGGAATGCAGCATGAGCTGTGCGGCTCCAAGTTTTCCACTAGTTCGATACGAAAAGGAGTAAGAATAACGTGGCAATAATTGGGTCAAACTTTTATTTCAATTTTTGTGTGGGTCTTTTGCCTGCATGTATGTCTGTTACATGCATGCATTGCCAATGGAGGCCAGAGGACATCGGATCCCTTGGGACTGTGATTACAGATGGTTTGAGCTGCCATCTGGGTGCTGGAGTCAAAACCAGGTCTTCTGGAAGAACAACCAGTATTCATAACCACTGAGCCAGCTCTCCAGCACAAATTGCAATAACTGTGATAATTAAGTGATAGCACTTATGCCCCCAAAGTCTCTCAAAGCAAAATGAATTATTTATCTATTATTTTGTTCTTTTGAGACACGGTATCTCTTCATAGCCCTGGCTGTCCTGAAACTCACTCTGTAGACCAGGCTGGCCTTGAACTCACAGAGTACCACCTGCCTCTGCCTCCAGACGCTGGGATTAAAGGTATGCACCACCACACCTAGCTTATTTATTATTTTTGAGAGAGGCTTTCACTATGCATCATTTGCTGTCCTGGAACTCACAATGTAGCCCAGACTGGCCTCAAACTCACAAGAGATCTGCCCTACTTCTGCCTTTCAAGTGCCGGGATTAAAGGCATTCACCACCATGCCTGGATAATATAATTTCTTTAGATGAGACATTTGATGAGACATTTATTGCCAACCACCCAAATCATGACCTTGATTGTCATCACCATCACCACCATTCGCAGCAGCAGCAGCAGCACTGCGTTATCTTACCATCCTGGTGGCGTTTATAGCTCCTCCTCTTCTGATGGATCGCAGAGCCTTGGATAGAATGCCCTCAGCACACTTCCTCTCCCGTATCTCCTATTTCAGGTGGCACAGTGATGCTTGGTGGAAGTAGGGCATGGTGAGAAGCCTAGCCTAGACTCTGTCAACAGGAAATGACTTGTGGGCGTCAGCCTAGACAGCAACCCACTCTGGCCACAGGTGAAGCTGTGAAAGTTCGG